AGTGGAGAAAAATGATGTAATTAAAATTGAAAGAGATGGGTCCTTCTCCTTGAGCTGTGAATTGAAGCACCACAGCTCACATGTAAGCCTTTGCATTTATTTGATAATGAAAAGGCTGATAAGGGTTGCCTTTCTTCTGCCTCAAAGGCCCATCTGTCACTTACTCTTTGATTAACATTGCTAACTAAAACCCCCCCCTTTGTCTCAGCTGACTCAATATCACATGCCCTTTGTGGTCCTAACTACCCCCATCTCATCTGGGTTTCGATCTTTTCCCCGAAATTGGCGTCGAAATGCGAAATTTCGAGCCGAGAACTTGCTAATGCTAACATAGCAAGTTGAGTAAAATTCTTCTGAGTATTTTCCACTTCCATCTCTGTGGTTGGTTGTGGTGGATGGAGATTTTGAGTTTGGATTGCTTAGTAGTTAGTACTAGTCTACTCGAATGGTCCTGGAATAGTAATTGGCATCCATGATCAAGTGAGACGTGACTTGTGGAAGGGTCATTTTCATTGTCGCCCCATCTTGCTTCTAAAAGGCCTCACACAAGATTATTGAAGATCATGACTCTTAAGGCAATGGGAACGTGGCGTTGGCCGGCCGAGCAGCGATGTGCCTTCGATTGGGACGTGGCACATGGTGGTAGCTGATGGTGGTCCTCACCACCAGCCGCCCCCCACCCGCTCGACGACTCTGCCACCACTGCAAATCCCATGCTGCCTGAGTTGTTTAGACTATATCAAAACATGGTGGCAAGGGCAATGGAGGGGGTGTAAGAGTTGACATGGATGGTGTGGGCTATCTTTGAAAAGAAAATGTTACCTAAACAGACAGATTTGGCATTTGCTTTCTAAAGCTAATGGTGTTATTTGTTTGGCCAACAGTGGTGTTTCCACTGCAAAATCTATGGTCCAATGGAGCATCATTAGATGCTCAGCTTCAAGACTCTTGCACTAAAAGTGGGCACCATTGAATTGAAGTCTCCCAAGTTGGGTTGGCATTGGACTGAGATATCTATCTATCAACTCAAACATTAGCCTCAGCAGAGCTCTAGAAACTTCCAGCAACCTGATTATGGTTGTATTTTAGAATTGTGGAGGATCTTATCTTGCTAATGCTGTGATATCACCTAATTTCAACTTCTAATATCTTCTGTACAGAAGTCAGAAGACATTGAGATGACAAATTTCAGCTAAGACTAAGAGGGATTAAGAATGTTGGAAATAGTTTCATAAGCAACTGTAGTTTACAGGTCTAACATGTAGAATTGTAGATTATGAATTTGAAATGAGAAAAATAAACTACAAAGATTTAAACTTAGAATGTTATGCGGTTAAAGATTTTTTGGTTAAACAGTGCTTACCATAGTACTAGAGTAGTACGTCTTTAGCTTTGAATTACCACGTCCACGTCTTTTTTTCTTGATTGATACTACTAATAATCTAAGCTAACATCTGAGACCACAGGAAGGACAGATTGTATAAAAAATATAAATTTACTATGCATTATATTTTTGGATAAGAACTATGCCATATATTAAACTACTGGGTTCGGTGTAGTTTTACATATCTTATACAAAATGATGATGAATCGAGAGAACAATCAAAAGCACTGACAAGTTGGACATGAGATGATCAGAAATTACAGCAGGGAAAACATATCCTCCACAATTGCCGCCTTCGCCTTTGAACCGGGTCAGCATTCACCATTCTTTCTGGACTTCCATTCCATTCTGTCTGTAAACTGTGAATTCAAGAAGGGTAAGGTAATAAGCTACATGATTAGATTTCAACAAATGAGGTAGAGAACACTAATGAAAATAGAAGCAGAATTACATTGGAAATGCAAAAGACTGCGAGCTGTTTGTGCTGCTATTCGACCGAAGCGATGTACTGCCCAAATAAGATGACAATGAAGGTTTTCTCACTGGGTTGAAAGCAGGATCAAGTTCAGAGGAACCGTCTTCTCTTTGATAAACAAAGCCGTGGCTTCTGTGTGATCCCATTTGGTCTTCTGGTGCATAGTTTTCGGGTATGGATGTGCTTCCACATTCATGACAGTGTCCACAACTGCTAGCACCGCCGCGTATCTTGCTCATTGATAAATTGGAGTTGCAATAAATGCTTCCATGCTCGTGTTCAGTGTTGCTTCTAGCAGCTGCTTTGCCTTTGTGTTTGTTTTCATCAAGTATCTTACTCAATGATATTGCAATAGAGTTTGTAGAAGCAGCTGCCTTTTTACCTGTAACCTACAAAATTTGCAGACAATCAAATCAAGTCTCCAAGTGAAAAAGCCATCGAGGAGTAAGCTAAGTAAGTTTATTCTTACCTTTCTATCAAGAAGTAATTTAGGCACAGTTTTCTTCCTGGGAAGGTCAGAAGGGACTTCGTCTATTTCATCATAATGAACCTTTCGTTTCTCATTTACTTTGTTAAAGAAATCTTTCTCAAGGACCTGCATTGATTCAATACTTGAAATTGACGACTCCAAGTCCTCGGATTCTTCAGTTGCTCCACCATCACTTACTGCTATATTATATTTAAGCAGGTAGGGGACATAACCATTCTCTCTGTCACAATCCTCCTCAAAACACTTTTCATGAGAAGTTTCTGCTTTGTCAATGCAAATGTCTTTCACAAATTCATAGTTGGTTTCTTGAAGGAAAACGACGAACTCAGGCAACTCGTCGTCAATTGAACTCATTGAGGAAAACCGACTCCTTCCATCTCCACTTGGTTCAGATTCACCAAGACCATCATCACTCTCTTGTACCATGTAGCTTCTTCTCCTAAATGATTCAACACCATCAACTTTCCATTTGTTCTTCTCCGTGAATCGGCTTTTCTGCAGATTGTCTACTACCAAACTTGAAAACTCGTTCATCATCTATGCTCTAATGATGAACAAACCCACCAAATCCCCTTGGTTGGTAACTGTCTATGCTTGATCCTCCCAATTAGTATGAAGCTGTCATTGGATTTGTGAAATACTTCAAAGGAAGTTGATTATATGAAAAGAAAACGAACAATCAAACATCAATCATCTTATAGTTAATTCCAAGACATGGAAAACAATTAGAAATTTTACAATCTCGTTTTAAGGGAATCAACTCCCCTGATTGAATGACAGGAAAAGCCTATAATTTAACCAAAATCGAAACTTCCATTTCACAAGAAACAGCCAAGGTCTGAGTTTCTTCCCTTTTCTCAGCAGCCAAACAAAGACAGAGAGAGAGAGAGAAAGAGACACTGAAATTATTATGGATATATATATAAACAATCATGAAATTCATTTTAACCTGCATAAGCAAAACATACAAACGACCTTCACCTGTATTTCAATTCAGACCAGATAAATCTCAGCAATGTCAGAGGTGAGACGCAAACACTTGGAGAGCATCAAGAAAGTAAAGTTTAGAGGACAGTAAAAAAATTAAATCTCCAGTCTCCAAGAAAATTAAGAAAGATCAAAGTAAAAGTTAGCCTGCAAAAATTACAGGACTTATAAAGCAGGGACATAACTCAAAACACATAAATGGCAGCTAACCACACATTGAATGCCCATAAAAGTTTTAACGGTCTCCATTGACCAAACCCCCACATGCTGCCCAGCCCTTTATAGAAACGGTTTCATTTAATACGATGAATTATATGATTCTCATCGAATGAACTTGAAGATTATGAAATTTGAATGTAAATGTCCGAGACTACGAAATTTTATTCAGTACAAAAGTTGTAAAACTCGTCGGAACAACTAGAATCCCGAACCGTGTTCAACCGGAGTAGTCGTACAGATCGTGAATCAATGTTACGTTGTAGCCTATCACAGCATCCATTTCTCTGAACGAGAATGTCCTAGCTAAGCAATACCCACGAGCCAGCCGGAAAGCTCCCGTCCCTCCGACGACCGGCATTTCCCGGACTTCGCTCATGATCGGATTCCGCCCAACTACGCTGAACGAGCTACCGTTGTAGGTTCCGCCGGTAATCGCGAAGGTTAGCGTCATCAAAAGGCTGAACTCATTTTGCTGAGACGACATTGCATAAATCCCCTGAGCACGCCCAATCAACGTCGAGTTCAACTCCGGCGTGGCAGTGAGCGGGTTGTCCATCATGAAAACGGACCCAAACATTGCAGCAATCGGATCCGAACCCGTGTAGTTCGTTCGCCTTCCGGCGACTTGAACGGCGGTGGCGTTCGGACCACTAACAATATCGTGCATATAGAACTGGATACGAGTCACGTTAGGGTTTAACGCCTCGATTGAATGAGCGGCCACGAGAATCGCCAAGGATATCAGCAGACTCTTCCTGGAAACGGCCATGGCTGCCTCGCTTCAATTCGACATGGATTGCAGGTTGCATTGTTCACAGAAGGGAAGATTATATAACAAATCTAAGTCACGGAAGCTTCGTCAAACCTGTGGAAAATCAGAGTTCCTTGGCTTGGCAATTACGTTAAGGAAAATTTCAATCCAAAAATTCAATCGATTTGAAGAGAGGAAAGATACCTAGAATTTTCTGAACTGTTTGATTGAATCTGCGGTTAAAAATCAGCGAACATGATCAAGAGTCAAGAGATGGGTGAAGAGGAAGAAATTTGCAGTGGAAATTTTAGAGGTCGTCACTTTCGTTCAATGTGAACGAATGTGCGTTTTTCAGCCGCGACGAGCTAACGTGGCCGGAAACTGGATGGATCGCTCCCAAGTTAGTTAGCTCCCGCGAAAAAAAAAATGATATTAATTTTAGGATAAATTGACCAAATTGTTCCTAGCCTTTTACCTAATAATGAAGGGCTTTTATGACCCATTTGTTTTTAGTTTTTTAGAAATTTTTATTTCTAAAAATTGTTGTTCTCTGCATTTATTTTTTTTACGATGTCGAGGTGAGAATCCACCTGCTAACTTTTTGGCTTGAGATAGATACTAATTACGCTGAGCTATGTTCACTTTTAACTTTTTTACGATTTATTAGTAAGTTTTTTAATCTTAAAACATATTAATTCTTACCTAAATTTAAAAAACAGTGCTACTTTGTTGAAGATTTTTTTTTCAAAATTTGACCCATGTTTTCAAAATGTAAAAAAAAACTATATTAACGGAAAAATGTTTTAAACTTAATTTTTAAAACGAGCCTAAATTTTGTTAATAAAAGATTGATGTATTATTATTATTTTTTAGTACAACATATGGAAGTGAGAAATCGAACTCACTAACCTCTTGGTTGGAGATATATAATTACCGCTAAGCCAGGCTCGTTTTGGTAAAAATTTATGTATTATTAAAATGTTACTTTTATGATGTATTTGGCCATGTGGACATATTATTTAAATGTTAATTGATACTTGAACTCAACATGATCATTGGAAGACCTCTAACTTGCCCAGATTATGTGAAAATTCAAACTTTCGACTTTTAAGAAATGTTACTAGTGCGTCAGTGGTTGAATAGTGTTCAAATTAAATAAGTATGTTTCCTCCAAAATAAATAAGTATGATTGAATATTTAGATTACATAAAAATGTTAAATCATAAATTTAATATATCAACTTTTAGATTTGTGTGTAATAGATTAATATTAAAAATTGTCTAATAGATCCACAAACTTTTAGTTTCGTATCTAATAGTTAGGTTTGTCAACTTTCAATTTCATGTCTAGTAAGTCGTAGACGACTTACCTTTCTAAATATTATGAATCTATTTAATTGCATCTTGAACTTTCTATTTATTTATTTATTTTATCTATTAGATACGTGAACTTTAAAATTATTGAATAGGTCAATGATTTATTAAACACAAATTTGAAAGTTCATGAACTTAAGGGGAGGATTAGGGCCGGGACTGTTAGTTGTTAGACACAACTGTAAAAGGTATTAAGCCTGTAATTTAACAAAAAAAAAACAAATTATAAGAGAAAAAAAGAATCAAATTGTGGGTATATTTTCAATAATTCCCCCTAATTTTATGAACAGGGCCGACCGATTAGAAGGCCCAATTACAGGTAGTGGAAGCCCAATAAATTGGGCTCTTACATGAAGATGGCCAGTAACAGCAAAATCCACGGCCCAAACGGTCAGAGTGATTTCGACGCCAACTTACGTTGCAGAATGCAGAGGAGTGAAACGACCAATTTCCCCGCCAAATTCCCAGCCCTACAGAGAGAACTCCGGGAAAAAGCTTCAGAGAGAGAGAGAGAGAGAGAGAGAGAGAGAGAGAGAGAGAGAGAGAGAGAGATTGTAATGGAGGAGAGCGAGAGAGAAATCAGAATCAGAACCCTAACCGGAGAATCACTGACCGTCGTCATTTCCGGCAGCAGAACAATTGATGACCTCAAACTTCTACTCAGGCGGAATTTCCCGTCTGCAACCAATTCCCCCAATTTTCACCTCTTTTCTAAGGCAATGAACATCTTCTCCCTCTCTCGCTCTCCCTCTATTCGTGTCTTTTCTTTTTCCTCTTGTTTTGGTCTGTCTGGTGATTGTTCGCATGTTCATTTCAGGGTAGCAAATTGAAACCGCAGAGTCTCATTGGTGCGTGCCGCATTGACCATGGCGAATTTCTAGTTCTCATTCCATTTAATAAGAAGGAATCTTCTAAGTCCCAGTTACGCGATCAATATGAACAGCGGTCCAGTGTTTCGGACAGAAGCTCGATTTCTCAATTCGCTGATTCTGCGTGGTCCGATATGGTGCAGGATTTATCGTATTTACATGACTGCTCTCTTCAAGGGAGAGATGAGAATGTCCACGAGCGTGAGAGAGGGAATTCTGAAATTGGAGACGTAGAAGCTGAATTGGTAGGGACATCTAGTAGTAGTTCTTCAAGTTCTAAAGCAAAAGGAAAAAAGGGTTTTGTTTTTAATGACTTGAAAGGGAATGATGACGTTTTGAGGAACTTACTATCGTCTCATACTGAAGGATTTTTAAATGAACACACTTGTGAAAACTTTCTTAAGTTTTTGGAGTCAGTGGATTGTTTATCGGACCCACGCAATGGGGAATGTATGTTGGCAAAACAAGCTAATTCACGAGGAGCTAACAAAAAAGTGCCACATAGAACATATTCTCCTTCATGCCTGTGTCCAGTATGGTTGAAGAAGATAAGGAAGGCATTTTCTTTCTTAAATGTTTTTTCAATGATTCTTCAACTACAAGAGAAAATTATGACCGTAAGTCGATTGGAGCAAGCAATGGACCTGCTACAGAACCATGGAATTACAATTTGTACAGAGGACATAAAGCACCTCTCGCTTCTCTGTCCCAAGGTACTTGATTCGGTGTCCAAGTTTAATGGGGTTCATAATATCATCATAAACTGCACAGAAATTATCGGATGACATTTTACATGCTAAAGAATGAAAAAATGACTCAAGCCGCATAAATGCATTACAAGTGATGTATAATTGTCAATTTGTTATGACTAGGTTGTTGTTTGCATTGTGTATGGATTCCTTGAGAACTCGCGTAATTACATTATCAATCATTCATCTAACTGACGGTTTTAACTACTATATATTTTGCCTGTGCCAGGCAGTACATTTTGCAAGTGGCAGTTTGGAAGATAGTTGTGATGATACGCTTTCCATTGTTATTTATTTGTCCGAACAAAATGGTCGATGGAATGATGGCAATACCGGTAAGGTGAAATTTCAGAACTTGATTGAGAAGTATTCAGCTTTTCAACTGGTCATGTGCTTTCATTTGCCTTACATTGTTGCTGTACAGCATGTAAACCGTGATGCACCAAAGGATGTCACTCTACTGAAGAGACGGGAAAGATCCTTTAAATTTTACCTTTGGGAGGCTATTAAGTTCCATATGGTGTGTTAACTGTTTCTTGTCTCTTTGGTTCAGTTATATTATATTTTCACTAGCGACGAAATGACTTTAGAGCATCCATGTTGCCATTCACATTGTTGAAGTTAGGAATGTTCTCCTTTCATTTTGGTGGTAAAGATAGATTGAAATATTACTACATCGCTGAAATGAGCTCATGAGGGTATATGACTAGTCATTTGGACAGGAGTTTGTTTACTATAAACAACAACAACAATAACGGGGACATGAATTTGATCCCTATAATTATTTGATCAAAAAGTTGGCCAATAATCATTCTAAGCTGTGGATGCCAGATGTGCTTTTAAACACATGGTGCCTAGCATTAAATTATCCAAATCATCGTATTATGTCTCAATAATTAAGATGGCTTTTGAAGTATTGTTTTACCACTTTTCTGTGGCAACGAGTTTAAGATCTGACCAGAAGTGTCCATTTGATCGAGCGGCTATTATGGTGACCTTAAAACGAAAAGATGGTTAACGTTCTATAAAAAATTTGCATTGCAGTCTGAACTTCTTATCTATGTATTCATTTGGGATTCTTTTATTTTAATCAATATCCAATTTTATACGAATGGGTATAATTGATTGGCGGGTGGAGAATGCAGCTTAGACATGGAAGCAGAAGTGAGATATGCGTACCTTTTTCCTTGGAAGATTTAATCACACCAAAAGAGTCTTCTGTCCATGGGGGTGAAGAAAAGCGACGAAAGAAAAGTGATACGGCTTCTTCAAGTTCTAAATCAGACCAAATACAATGTCATGTATGAAATCAATCTCAATTTATACGTAGTTGTAGAGATGTTTAATTCTCTTTTTGCAAGTTGCCAATGCATAATGCCATAATCTAAAAGAGGAAACAAAACATGTTTTGAGCTTATTTGATGTTGACTTTCTCCGTAAGAGATGTGATTTTTCCTTGCAAAAAAAAGATATGTGGTTTTTTAAATACTTCCATCTCATAAAGTATGCATGTTTTTTTTAGTATAACATGTGGAGGTGGGGATTCGAAGTCATGTAGGTGCCTTAATCAGTTTGTGCTCAAATTGACATAAAGTATGCATTGCATGTCGTGTCTACTGGCCATTCACTTTTGCACTTTTGACCAGCAAAGTTCATATTAACGTATTACATACAGCAATTAATGAACCCAAAAGTTATACCCCTAATTTTATGTTTATAATAATTCAGGGCACAATTTGTATGATTAATTACAACACCCTTATGGTTTTTTTTGTGGCTCGACAGGACACTTCAAAACTCTTACCTGAGATAATGGTTGAACATCTTAAAGCGGGTGTTGGATCTGATGGCCAGGTACGTTGGCCGAGAAAGTGAAACATAGGCTCAACTTTTATTTAATTGATAAGTCAATATGTTTAGTCGTAGTCTGTCATTGGCTTTATCTACTGGTTGACTAGTCTATCATTCAATGTAAGAGTAGAATTGGTATGAAAATTTGTCTTTTTCACAGGTTGTTAGTTGTTAACTGAGAACTATGATATGGGTGATTCTCTAAACAGATAGTGCATGTGGAAGATATTGCGGCTAGGAAAGCTAATTATGTGGAAATTCCAGAGGAACTTTCAAATAATGTTATATCAGCACTCAAATGTATTGGTGTTGAAAAATTGTATAGCCATCAGGTATGATTAATTTTTATGCTGTTATTTAACAAGGCTTACATTAATCTTATTTCACTTTAAATATGCATTGAGTACATTTTTATGCTCTTCTTGGCGCACTTTGTTGAAGTCTTTTTGTGATTATGACAAGTTTTTTTTCATTAAGGCTGACTGGAGTGTACTTTTGTCTACTTCTTGCCTCACGTGTGGGTTTATATTTACGTCTCCATACCCTCTTCTGTTTATCTCCTTTTTGGGTTCAATACATTTTTAATATTGTCTTTTTGTATAATAAAAAATATCTGTTCTGTATTTTCTATTACAATGAACTTGATAGGCACGGTCAATTGAAGCCTCCTTGGCTGGAAAGCATGTTGCCGTTGCCACAATGACTTCAAGTGGAAAATCTCTTTGCTATAACCTGCCAGTTCTTGAATCAATGTCTCAAAATGTCACATCATGTGCTCTTTACTTATTTCCAACTAAGGTATGTTTTCTGCTGCATTATTACATAAGTTGTTCCGTACGAATTTGTTTTTGTATTGAAATAATTAAAAACTTCTTTACACATTTAGGCCTTAGCTCAAGATCAACTCAGAAGTTTGCTCGTCATGATGAAAGGATTTAGTGATAACCTTAACATTGGCGTTTATGATGGTGATACATCTCAGGCTGATAGGGTTTTATTGCGTGATAATGCTAGGCTGGTAATTTATCAAGTCCATTTTTTAACCTCCCCCCTTCCTTAAATTTTAGTCCAAAAACCAAGTTCCTACCCGAAATTTTCTGTTCTTATACAGTTAATCACAAATCCAGATATGTTACATGTATCAATCCTGCCATACCACAGACAATTTAGTCGGATATTATCAAATCTTCGGTATTGTATCTAACTTTACAATTTCTCTCTCTTTGTTCACTGCATGGTTCCACTTTCCATATACTTTTATCATTTTTGCAGATTAAATTGTCTATATTGTACGTATTTACCTCAAGACTTTTTCTCATAATCAGTTGATTTTTTTTACTTAGATTTGTACTCATTGATGAGGCTCATACTTATAAGGGAGCATTTGGATGTCATACTGCACTAATACTACGGAGACTTCGCCGGATATGCTCACATGGTGTGGATTGTTATCTAACGTGTTATTGAAAATTGAGGGAGTTTATTTATCTAAACCTCTAACTTTTGTCGTGAAATAAAATCTGATCTCTCGTGCAGTGTATGGAAGTGATCCTTCTTTTATATTCTGCACGGCGACTTCTGCAAATCCGCGTGAACATTGTATGGTAATAAACCTTGTTCCCTTAGTTAAGATGTCTACTGGTTTTTCAGTAAATAAAATCTAGAATATTTTGATTATGCATCCTTTTTTCCTTTCTCTTCTTGAAACTCATTTGAAAATATATAGAAGCATCTTCAACAGTGCAATAACATCAACTTTGAAAATGATTGGCAACGAGTATATCCTTGCATGTCATTTTTCCCAGTCATATTCTTTCTGGGAAAAATCAACTTTGACTTCATTCTTTCTGAATATTATATATATGAGCTGAAATTCCCTTTTTTGTAATGCTTCAGGAACTTGGAAATCTGTCAAGCTTAGAGCTGATTGAAAACGATGGAAGTCCTTCTGCCAGAAAACTTTTCATCCTCTGGAATCCTATTAAGGTGCTGTCCGTAGGTCTGTTAACATAAATTGACACGATACAGTAGTACTGATTTGCCCTTGTTGCTTCTGTGGTACAGGCCTTGAAAAATTATCAGAGAGATATTGATTCTCTGCAGAGTACAGAAAAGAATGTTAATTTCAGAAATCCAAGGCAACAACTTTCCATGTTTACTGACTTTGGTGGATGAGGGCTAATCTCTTTATTATATCATTTAACACTTTGTTTGCATTTCCAGCCCAATTATGGATATAGCAAGGCTCTTTGCGGAAATGGTTCAGCATGGACTTCGCTGCATTGCTTTTTGTAAAACTCGTAAACTTTGTGAACTCGTTTTATGCTACACGTAGGTGATATTTCTAAGTTTTCATATGTCATTCTGCGCCTTTTTGTTTTATATTTTATTTTATCACTTATGCTTACTTTAATTTCACATGGCCGTTTAGTGAAAATTCCAACTCAAGTTCTTGTTTGTGGCATTCATTATGAAGTTGTTGCAACTATTCTTTTCATTGTTATATCATTGTTATAGGCGTGAAATTCTTAAGGAGAGAGCACCCCATCTGGTACAATCTGTGTGTGCTTATCGTGCTGGATACACTGCTGAGGTATAGAAGATGCCTTCTATTGTTCAAACTCGACAAATCTATACTCTCTATATATTTATTTTTGTATCCTGGAACTGAAACCAGGATGGAAGAAATTTTGTTTTTGTCATATTCCATAACAAAATACCGATACGAAGTTCTGTGCATCTGAGAATGGTGTTCACCACTAATTAATTTTTTATTCTCGCTAGTATTCAATAGATAGTTGTTAGACTTCTAATGGACCAGAACTCATGTTTATTTGCATTTTTAAAATACTTAGTGTATCCCGTTCTCTTAGGTTCTGGTTATTATGATTTGGGAATTTTTAATCATGTTTTGGGCTCCAAGGGCATATTTGCGTAGGATAAAAGGAAAATGATACTGCTCTTCTTTGTAAAGGAGCTTGCTGTTAGTGTGCGAAGCATTATTATGTGTGAGGATGTGATGTTCAGAAATATAAAAAGGAAAAAGCTAACTTCTCGATTTTGAAATATAGAAAGGAAAAAGACGTTAGATGCAATAATCAGCCACATCCCAGATTTTCCAGTAAAGGACATGAAACATTCCAGCCCGACCATATAGATGTTATTACTTTTTTGGGCTTTTAGCAGGTCATCATGCATGTGATATATGATAGCATGTGTATTATACAATCTTTATGAGCCTCATGATCCAAAAAGTGCGTATTTTCTGAGTTGGAATTCAAATGGAGCAGGATAGGAGGAGAATTGAGAGTGACTTTTTTGGGGGGAACCTTTGTGGCGTTGCCGCGACAAATGCCCTTGAATTGGGTATTGATGTAGGGCATATTGATGCAACTCTGCATTTGGGCTTTCCCGGAAGTATTGCTAGGTAAAGTTCCCTACTCTTTTTCATTTTCTTTGGTCTTTTGACTATGTCCTTTATTTGGTCCTATTGGTTTCAACTTTTCTTATTCTTCCTTGTGCTGTATACCTTTTAAGCTTGTGGCAACAAGCTGGCAGGGCAGGAAGGAGAGAAAGGACTTCTCTCTCTGTGTATGTTGCATTCGATGGGCCACTTGATCAGTATTTCATGAAAAACCCTGAAAAGCTTTTTGGGAGCCCAATTGAGTGCTGCCATATTGATGCTGGAAACCAACAGGTTCTAATCTGATAGTGATCCTTTAAATTGGTACCAGCTTTAGTGAAGTTTTACTCTGATATTTATTGATGCTGCTTCCACAGGTTCTTGAACAGCATTTGTTATGTGCTGCACATGAACATCCAATAAGTGTGCTTTATGATCAGAATTTTTTTGGTTCTGGCTTGAACACTGCCCTAACGTCTCTAAAAAATAGAGGAGATCTGATTCCTGATCCATCATGTGGCTCATCCAAAAGTATTTGGAACTATATTGGGCAAGAGGTATAAAATTTGTCTCATTTGATTCAGACTCTATTCGTTACTCACCAGGAATTTGATTGATATAAACCTGTGGTAAACTGAACTATTTTGCACTTCCTTATGAATATTTTCTAGAAAATGCCTTCCCGCGCAGTTAGCATCCGAGCCATTGAAACAGAGAGATACAGAGTTGTAGACCAGCGGCAAAATGAAGTTATTGAAGAGATTGAGGAAAGCAAGGCTTTCTTTCAGGTAACTGCTGTTTCGAAAATAAGACCATCGACGTAGTTAATAAACAAGATCCTTTCTAATTATTTTATTCAAAGAGAATAATAAAAGCTGTCAGACTGGATTCTTTCGTTTCTACTCATTGATTGCAATGTTGCATGATCATCATTCTATGAAACCAACCATATAGGTTTCTGGCTATGTGATTCAGGTATATGAAGGTGCTGTTTATATGCATCAAGGACGAACTTATTTGGTCAAAAGCTTGAATTTGTCAAGTATGCTTGCTTTCTGTGAAGAAGCTGATCTAAAATATTACACAAAAACACGTGATTACACTGACATTCATGTTATCGGTGGTAATATGGTACGCTTTGAATTATTGACTTCATGTTTTTCGTGCTACTATTTTTTCTGAAATTACATATTTGCTGCATTTGGTTATCATATCTTCTCTAGTTTGGATTTTGGAGAGTGTATTTCTCTTTTAGAATTGTGAGTGGTCCGTTTCAGAGGGTTGTGACTTTGGCCTCTTAGATGGACAACGTGGCATTAATTTAAATCCATAAAAAACAAAATTGTTATGGTTTTGTTATGTACTTCTCTATTTTAAATAGTGTCATGTTGTTAATTAGGCTTATCCAAGGAGATTTCCAAATATTCCGCCCTCAAAAACAACTGCTCAAGCAAATGATTGCAGAGTTACCACCACTTGGTTTGGTTTCTATCGTATATGGAAAGGAAGTAAACAAATTTTTGATACAGTGGATCTCTCACTTCCCAAATATTCATATAACTCTCAGGTGGTATTTAAAAAATTAGGATACTCGTGATTCATTCCTTAATCAATTGGCCTTGCCACCAAATCAATTGGCCTCTCCCATTTAATCCTGTTTATTTAACTTTCCCTTGTTAAGCAGGCAGTCTGGATTCCAGTACCACAATCAGTAAAAGAAGAGGTGAAGAGGAAAAGCTTCGACTTTCGTGCAGGCTTGCATGCTGCTTCACATGCTCTTCTGAATGTAGTGCCATTGTAAGTTTCGCAGTAATGTGTTTAAAATTTTCTTCGAAGGTTTCCTTTTTGGACCTTTTTGTTGCTAAAAAGTGAATATACCATTTTTTATTTATTATTATTTTTAATGAAAAAAGCGTTGAAATTAGTGCCCTACAAGAGGGAGAGAAAAAAAAGGAAGAAAGAATAACGGCCTAAACAGGGATCAACCAAAAAACTGAAAATACCTGATTAGAAGAGATTGCTAATCCTAATTAATGAAAACTATTTCCTGACATTTTTTTGGTAAATTTTTATTAGGTCTGAAGCTTTGGCTTAATAAGAAATATTTCCTTTAAAAAAAAACCTAGAAATGTAGTCTGCTATTTTCCCAATCCTATATGTTTAGCAGATTTTCAATCTCAGCTCATCATTGTATGTCTAACAGACGCATAATATGCAACATGTCTGACTTGGCTCCTGAATGTGCAAATCCTCATGATACTCGCTATTTTCCAGAAAGAATACTGTTGTATGATCAGCATCCTGGAGGAACTGGTATGTCAGTGCAGGTGAGAAATTTTAGCTGCTGTATTTATCCTAAATGTTAGATGTGAGCAATGCTCGAAGATCCAAGATCCTAGAATTTTTAACTACAGTTAATTTTTTTTCTTCCGCAAAATAATGGTTAGAATATGTTTGGCTTTCATTAATAAGAACTTAACTGAACTTGTAACAGATTCAACCCGTTTTCATAGAGCTGTTGAATGCTGCTTTGGAACTTCTCACCTCTTGCTGCTGCTTAGGAGAGACCGGCTGCCCTAATTGTGTCCAAGTATGGTTCAATACCTTCCCG